GCGTTAAATCTGCGCGGAGTGGCGTGGCAGCAGCGAGGTTCGCCGTCGAGTTTTGTCGCTGCGGCGTTTACACAGCGCGGGTGGGTCTTGGGGCTGCTGATAAGGGCTCTCCCACCCGCTTGGGGGTGAAAGTGCACGGAGCCATAGGTCGTGCACTGTCTTTGCGCAGCATGTTATGAACTGATGCAGAGTGCGCCGGTTCATGGTGAGGTTGGAAACTTGCGCACGAGAGAGGTCGAACGTTTTCTGATATTTTCAGTTTTTGAGCGACGAAAAGTATGAGGTCGTCATGCAAAAACAAACTACCAAAATTTTCTGTGTGCGCTTGACTGGTTTATTTCTTTCCGAATAAGAATGAATATCAGTTTAAATCTAATATTGTTTTAATATGTTTACGTAATGAATGTGTTTTAAATTTAACCGTAAGAAATGATGCCGTGAAAATATATTTTTTGTTTTTATAATTTTGTATGTAGTTACTAACCTCATTACAGCTACATCTCTTTTTTCCATGCATTCAAGAGATATCAGGCGCCATTCCTATCATCAAACTACTCATTGCGGATACTTCTTTGTCCTGTAGACCGGGCTGTCTCGGACAGTTTTGTGTTTTTTCTTCTACGTGTTTGTACTTCCTCCTATACATACTTATATACGGAGTAATATACGTGGTATATGGAAAAGTATGTAATACTGTGCGAAAAAACGGCAGATTTTTAGCAGAAAAATATTCTTTGCCGGGCCTTGGTAGCGAAAAAGTGGATAAATCCAGTTGCTAAATTATGAAAAAAATCGTGTAACATGTGATGTAGCCAGATTCATGTTTTATGGGTCCTTGATAGTGAAAAAATGATTGACTGCAAAACGTCCGTCCATCTGTCTGGTGTATGAACTAGCGCCTAAACTTGGCGTACGATTTTTTCCAAACTGAATAAAGCCCTGTCGATGTGTCCTGAGTCGAGCTCTGCGATTTTGAAAAACATATTTCACAAATTTATTTTTTAATTATCTCTCATGCCGTTAATAGGGACATTTCCAGCAAATTGTGTATATTCTTGCATTTGTGAGTAAATTCTCTTTAAATGACTTCAAATGAAGTTTTTCAAACACTCAAAAGATTCCTGTGAAAAAGAGTTGCAAATTTCAACTTTACACTAGAGTTTAAATTTTTTTTAAAACGACTCAAAATTATTAAACGAAAATTTCCTTATGGAACGAGGTTTTATTCTTCTTTAATATTTTAATTGTAATATTTCGAATCTACCATCTGGAAACCGAAATATTAAGAAAATTAAAAAAAAAATATTTATTTAGGGGGCGATACATAGCAGCCGCGACGAGGGTGGGTGCAAGACCGTAAAGCTGACCCACATCAAGGAAATTAGAAAATTTTAATACGCGAAAGTCTGTGCCATTCTGTAGCACTACTAGTTACTTTCTTGTTAACGTACATATATACGGAGTATAGAGACGAAGTATATGTAACGGGTATTCTCTGTATGTAGTATAGAGAAAGTTATGTAATGCTGCGCAAAATCGATTCCAAAATTTCAACGGAAATATATTTTTGGGATCTCATGATGCCGAAAAAGTGTAGTTTTTTCAAAACCTCCGTCCGCCTGTCGACCTGTCTGCACGTCCGTCTATCCTTCTGCCCATCTGTGAACACCACTAGCGCCTAATCCATACGTAGGATTTTTTCCCAAATTCAAGAAACCTCTGTCCATCTGACGCGAGTTGAAACTTGAAGTGAGATTTTGAAAAACTTTTTACATTCCCGTATACATACGTATTACGGACGCAAAACGTAGTATTGGGAATGTTATGTAATGATCGGCAAATAAAGCGGCGGATTTTTGGCTGAAAAATTCTTTGCTAGACCCTTATATCCAAAAAGTGGATAAATACAGTCACTAAATTAAGAAAAATAGCCTTGAGTACATGATGTAGCCAGAATCCCTGTTTTGTAGGCCCTTGATACCGAAAAATCAATTGACGGCAAAACGTCCGTCTGTTCGTCCGTCTGCCAGTCTGAGAACACTACTAAACCATGCGTAGGATTTTTCCCAAATTGAAAAAAACTTTTTCCATCTGGTTCGAGTTCAAACTCTGGGCTTTTGAAAAACATTATTTAAAATTTGGACTTTTAAAACAATTCTTTACATGAAGCCCTCCGGACATTTTCAAAATTTTCTCAAAGACGGCTCCAATTTCTTTTAAAAACTTTTGTGAGCGATAGTGCGAAATGTTCCCTATAAGATTACTTAAACGCCATATTGTTCTATTCTTTTGTTTTTTCAAAAATTACAAAAATGAAATTTTTTGACTTGTCTTTCATGCCAATATTTATAGTAGCAGCAATTTGTTCACATTATTACATTTATGAGTACATGTGCTTTAAATAATGTCATATAAAGTTTCTCGAAAACTCAAGCATTTTCTGTGAAAACTAGCTCAAAATTCAGCGTTTTCAGAAATTCTCAAACGCCATTTTCTCCACAAAAAATGCTCCAAATTTTGTCTTCAAACTTTTCGAAGGGATAGTGCTAATTGCTGTTTAATATGATGTAAAGTTCATTATGTTTTTTTCTAACATTCTACAAACGTATTTGATTAAGGTCTCTCACGTCGTTAATATGCACATTTCCAAAAATGTGTAATCACTTTTGAACTTGTAAGTTAATATGCGTTAAATGACGTCTATTAAAGTTTTTCGAATACTCAAAAAAGTTTGTGGAAAAGAGCTTCAAATAAAATAAAAATAAAAATGGATCCAAAATTTCAAAAAACGTACTTGGGCGGCGATTGAGGGTAGCTGGCAAGAATATGCAGCAAGTCGGATTAGCTTGCCGAAACCAAAGGAAATATAAAACTAATACGGGAAAGCTTGTGCCAATTGTAGCATCACTAGTTTAAAATTCGGGGGTTCTGTACATTATGCCCCTGGGACATTATCAGAATTTTCTCAAAAATGGCTTCAAATTTTTTCTTTAAATTTTTGAAAGAAATGAATAAAATACATTTATAATGATTGTGTAGGCCCGTTTTTCGATGATAACTTTGAATTTGCAATACTTGCAAAAGTTTGAATTTTTCGGCGTCTTCCTACAATTGCAAAATTAAAGATTGCGATTTTCCCTTAAAATACAATTTGTTGTCAACAGTGAGTTATTTTATTCAGGCATTCAGATTTTTTGAAGCTTTTTGTAGTTTTCGCGATGTATTGTATGTAATATGTTGGATTTTAAAAAACAACAAAAACAAGATTTTCTGAAAATTTTTTTCTTTGAACTTTTGGTAAGGATAGAACTAAATGTACTCTACGAGATAACATAAAAGTCACATTTCTCTATTGTTTTGCTTTTTCAAAAATTACAAAAATATAATATTTTGACTTATTAGGCACGTCAGTAATATTCACATTAGCGTAAATTTGTTTACATTATTTACAAGTGCATTATCTTTAAACGATGTCTTATAAAGTTGCGCGAAATTTCAAAAGTTTTCTGTAAACACGAACTCAAATTTTCCCATTTCCAAAAACGCTTTAACGTCATTTTTTGTAAAAAAAAAAAAAGCTCAAAATTTGTTATTCAAACTTTCCGTACGGATAGTGCAAATTGCAAATGTTTAATATGAAATAATAGTCATTTTGTTGTTTTTCTGAAAAAAAATCACAAATGTAATTAATAACACTTTCATGCCATTAATATGCACATTTCCAGCAATTTGTATACATTATTCCATTTGTGAGTGGAAGTGTTTCAAATGATTTCGAATTAAGATTTTCCAAAACTCAAAATATTTCTGTGAAAAGAGCTTCAAATTTCTCATTCAAATTGCTTAAACACCATTTTCTCAAAAAGGTGCCAACGTTTTTAATGAAAATTTTCGAATGGAGCGCGAATTTACTCTTTTATAATATTCTTAAATTAATATTGCGGTTCTACTATTAGGGAAAAAATGAGAAAAAAAGTACTTTGCGGAGCGATAGATCGCAGTTGACAAGAGGATGGGGTAAGACCGAAGGACTAGCTCAGAGCAAAAGGAATTAGAAAGCTAGTACGAGAAAGAGTGTGGAATTCTGTAGCGTTCTAGTTCTTCTAAGACACTCTTCAGGATTGTCTCAGCTCTTCTAGCTGCCAGTAACGGGAAGGGTCAGATTAGGAGATCAGAAGGAAAAGAGTTAAAGGATGATAAAAAGGATTGGGGAAGTCCCACCGTGCCACAATAATTCAATTATCTATTCCCGAGACGGGCTTGAAACAATCGGCTTTTTGACCCGGAAAAGCAAGTGAGTTCTTGAAACAGCGATCTGAGTTATTCGGGTCAGCAAAACTGCAAAACTGTACACTGAAATTCCTTACCTCAGAGATAAATGGCAAAACTACTACTATTAACCTAATTTTATAGGAGACCAGTTTAAATACGTTATTGTTTTCTGAATAAAAATGGACGTGAAAAATGATGTTATTTTGACTGCTTCTAACTTTATTATCAAGGCCTTGTGGGAACAATTCACAATATTCTGATCTATGTCTGGTCCCTGACGTTTAATGAGATGCCAAGGGAAAAATGACCGCCTCTCTTGCTACGATTAAATAGATAGAATGAAAAGAGACGCTGGCTTGACTGAAGCAGTAAGTTATTCTACCAATCACGAAACAAGAAGGAGCAGACCCCGTTATTGAACAGAAAGTAGGAGTAGTAAGTGAACAGCCAGGGCGGAATGATTTGTGAGTTCATAAGTACGTGTAAGCGAATGAATTGCACGCAAATGAACCAAGATTTGTTGAATTGAAAGTATAAACAATACAATAAGTACAACAAGCAAAGCTTCATTTATAAAGGAGGTAAAATCTTAAACACTGTTTTTATAATTTGTGAAAATTATGCATGTATAAGGAACTCTTGCTCGGAGAGGTGTGTTTGAATAATCGGCACACATCTAATTTGACATTCGTTCTTTTTTCATTTCAGGTTTCTTGTTATATTTCCAGTTTTTCTTCGTACTTACGCCTGAAGATTTATTTAATTATTTAGATTTTATTTCTTCTTTATTCTTCTATGGTTTTTGAGCTTCCATAAGCTTTTAAAAAACTTCTGGAACAGCCATCTATACTGACAAGTGAAATACTGAAGCCACTGCTTGCTTCCTCAATTAGCTGTGGCGAGATACTTCGACTAGAAGATCACCAACATTATTGATAAACTGGTAGGATAGTGACTGCTCGCACCCTGCGCAGATAATTGGCAAGAACTGAAACTGGGTGAAAACGTTGTTTTATAAAGGCAATTAGTAGTGTAATTGAAGTATGACGTTTTTCATCAGTCGATAATTGGGTGAGCCACTTGCTAGTAAAAAAATTGTAGTTACAAACCTCAATTTTCACTAAAAGTTTATTTTGTAAAAATCATTCCTTTCTAGGAGTGTTAGTCCAGAAGTATGTCATCAGAAAAGTGTACTTGCGAAGGTCGAGTCAACGGGTCTCTTTCCCCACCCCCAGAGTTCCGTTACCTCAACGCAGCGCCGCGCCGGCAAGGTCACCCGCCGAGAAGGGGTTCTCCCTCCAACATTACGGTAGGAAAATATTCTCTTTCTATATGAAAACAATGTTTAATAAAGAATTAGGAAACGGAAGTATTTTATACGACGTAAGTTCATCAATCTTTTTATTACCACCGATTTTGGGTATCATATTTTTGACGAGTAGTGAAAGACTAGAATGATTGCAAACAATTGTAATTAGAATTTCTAATCCTAAAAGACAGACAAGGCTGTTCACTAATATAGGAGTAATTTATTATAAGGAGAAAACAAGACGTAGCAAAATAATTAAGACAAGTGTATCATAAAGAGAGGTTTTAAGATTACTTGATTTGTGACGTTCTGTCTCTAGATGGATCGACTGAGTAAATAAGAATTAGAAACCTGAAGTATTTTATACTATATAATTTGCACTAACACTTTCATAACCACAAATTTTGGATATCGTATTTCGACGAGTAGAAAAACACTAAAAATATTTATAAAAATTTGTGTTTAGATGTGCAATCCTAAGCCCAAAAAAAAGATTTTTTTAATGTACTGTAATTTAATATAGAGAAAAATATTATGTATCCAAAATAAGCAAGAGAGGTTTAATATAAAGAGAGATTTAAAGATTACTTGTGTTGTTGTGTATAGAATTTGTCTTATTTCAGTTTTTTATTGCGTTATATTTGAAATTTTTAGATGTTTGATTTGTGTGATCGAACCAACTTTCTGTAAATTTATTTTTGGTTTAATTTTTGTGTGTGAAACGAGATTTGTTTAAAAGAGTGCAATATTTGCATTGCTGGAATTAAACAGAGATAGTACTAAACTTCTTGCTTGTATGTTTGTGTTCATCGAGCGCTACACCCTCGTACAATCTACTCTTTTAAATTAAGAATCCTAGGAGGTCATCAAGGTATCAACCCTAAATAATTATTCGCAATTAGAATCGAATATTATAAATTCGATAAGAATATCTCTAGAGAGGTCAATAAAATTAGAAGTGTTAAAATATACCATTTAAGTAAAAAAATGGTCATAGCCATTTAACTCAGAGGTATAGAATTCAAGAAAACTTTACTTCAGAGAGTCTTGGTCAAGTTGGGATAGTCAGGTTAATCAACCCCTTGCGATTTTCAGGCAATGACGGCGTGATGATTGTGAACTATAACCGACGGTCAATTTCGTTGAACTACGTTATGAATTTCAAAACCCACGAATTATAAACTCTCCTCTGCTACACAGATGCAAACTGACAGCCACTTGATGACAAATATGGCAAGGAAAATATACTTTTTCTTCTTGTACGATTATTAAATTAGATGCTGTTGCAGAATGGTTTGCCCTTGTTTTTAGCCTAAGTCACGAAGTGAAGCCAATATGTACTCGAACACACAAACCTTAATGGAAACAACCGTCTACATTATGTCTTCCGTCTGCTCTTTTTATGCTTCGACGCATGATACAGTTCAGCCAGACCACAATCGCCCAATAATTCGGTCAGTTGGCCACTGGCTCAAACACGAGCTTCGCCTCCAGGGGTAACGCGCTTGGTGTGAATTCCGCCAAGGCCCCCGGCGTCCTGCCTTGCAGCGGCCAAGGCCCCCTCCCCCTCCACCACCCCATCCACGCCAACCCACTCGCGGCCCGCTGCGCCTCTAATGGCCTGCGCCGGGCGGCGTGGCGCGGCGTGGCGGGCCAAGAAAAATGACAATCGCATGCACTTGGAGCGGACGTCGGGCCGTGAGGAACGGCGGGCCGACCGCAACCGCTATCTCTTCTGTATATTTAGAACAGTACTTCATATCCCCTTCCGACCGGGCTCCATGATCGAAGATTTAAGGCCCGCATGCGGCCAACTCCAGCGGGAGTTTCTTTCTGAGGCTGCTCTCGCCGATACTCCGCCGCCGCCTTTAACGCCCCCTGCGGCACCACAATGCTTCCGCCGCTTCCATCGCCTGTCGTCCACATCTCCGTTATTACTCGAACAACTCCTCAACAATTCAAGATTTAATTCCTCCAGAAACACCTTGCGTTTCATTATGTCAATGTCATTCATGTCTAAAAGTCTTCTAATCCCTCCCTACACACGAATATGCTCCAAGGGTATCCGCCTTTATACGGAATATCCTCTCCATGATATCGGTAACTACTGTCCCAGTTTTGCGGTCATTATTTACCGCTGTTGGCTGTATCACTAACTCTTAACCTTGTAGGCCAATGTATCATTTCCTATCCTAACACCCCCTCGGACCATAAGCTTCCTAAAATACCTCTCTCTGTCTCTCTCATCCTTAGTCTCTAGTGGCACTTATCTTCACCCGTTTTTGTGAATGATAATCCCTCTTCAGCAGCCGTGGCTGTCGACTTCATCTGATCATCCATCATTTCCATTGTCGTCTCCTATAAATACCGACTTCTAAACAACTCTCACTTTTCTCAGTTCTATGACCAAATCGTGTCGATAATATACAGAAATTATCGTCAAATATTACCCTCTCCCACTCTAGCACTGTCACCTGAGCTATAATTCTTCATCCAGAATAATCTCTTTATGACTACTGAAACATCTATTTCAACTTCCGCGAACCCTTCATCACATGAGGCACTACTATCATTTACCATTAATCATTTATCAGTTAAACACTTAAAAATTACCACCGCAAGCCTTTATCAATACTATTTCCATCATCATCTCCCCATTATCATTTCCAATAATCTTTTATCACATTGCCTCTACTATTCTTAACTTCCTCCAGTTTCCTATGTAATTCTCACGAATGCCGCATCAGCTTCTTTCCATTAGTTTTGTCATCACTTCGCAGCAGCTGCTTGAATCATATCTCTCACTGCTATTCCCCCACTCCCTGAATATTTTCCTCCTGACTTAATTCCCCTTGTCTCGTGAACGCTGTTTTCGCATCTTTCCATCCGCCATATCACAGCCGTCCACCCTGTAACTTCTTCAATCGGCACATTTTCACCTATTTTCACCCATCAAACGCTCCACGTTAATTCACCACTTTCTTGGTGTTGTTACCTTCTCTGCATCTACCTTACCCACCCCGTACCAAATTTATATCATCCCTTTCTCGCCGATGCTACCACCTCTTTCATCTCCTCTCTCATCACCACGGACTCAACCACTCTCCCATATCTCTCACCTCTTTCTCGCCTCTTCCTCGTCCACCACCTTCACTCTCATTACCATCGTCTCAAGCACTCCCCAATTTCTCTCACTCCCTTGGCACCGATGCCGCTACTGTTTTTACACTCATCCCCACCATTCCACCGCATTTCTCTCAGCCCTTTCTCGACGATGCCGCTACCATTTTTAAACTCATCCTCACCCCTCCACTCCATTTCTCTCACCCCTTTTCTTCCAACATGCAACAGTATCTTGTGCCGAAACCGTCTTTACACCCATCTCCACCCCTCAACCAGTCCCCAATTTCTCTCACCCCTTTCTCACGATGCGCTTACCATTTTTACACACCTCCCACCCCTTCACCCGTATCTCTCAAACCATTTCCTTCTCTCACAGGCCTTTTCTTCCAATATGCAAATCTCCTTGTGGCGAAACCGTCTGTATCCCATCTCACCTCAACCAGTCCCAATTTTCTCTCCCCCTTTCTCACCAATGCCGCTACCATTTTTACACACTCCACCCTTCACCCCGTATCTCTCAACCATTTCCTTCTCTCACACCCTTTTCTTTCCAATATGCAACATCCTCTTTGTGCGAAACCGTCTTTACACCCATCTCCACCCTAACCAGTCCCAATTTCTCTCACCCTTTTCTCGAACCGATGCCGCCTACCATTTTTAAACTCTCCTCCACCCCCCGACTCCAATTTCTTCTCACCCTTTTCTCCAAATGCCACATACCTCTTGTGCGAAACGTCTTAAACCCATCTCCACCCCTCAACCATCCCCAATTCTCTTCACCCTTTCTCACCGATGCCCGCTACCATTTTTTACATCACCTCCCCACCCCTCCCCCGTTTCTCTCACATTTCCTTTCTCACCCTTTCTTTCCAAACATGCCATATCCTCTTGTGCCGAAACCGTCTGTAACCCATTCTCTACCACTCCCCCGTTTCTCTCACTCCCTTTCTCCCTCGCCCGCCCCTCCTCTGCCGCCCCGCCCGCGCTCGTGCCGCCGCCGCCTCCGCCGCGCCTGTGTTTGTATATATGCGCGTGGCGCAGTGCTCAGGGCTAATAATTTTCCCAGGCGGGACTGCGGTTTTCCTCTCGAGGGCATCCCAGGCGCCTCTCAGCGCCCGCTCTGGCGTCGCGCGCACGTACTGGTGCAGAGGCAAGCTTCCCAAACGCCCCGCCCGCCCCCGCCCGCCCCCTCCCGCCCGCCGCGCTTCGTCTTGCGCGCAAAACGCTCGCGCTCTTTCGCTATTCTGCTAACGGACCGCGAAATAGTTATGGGCCGCCCGATGATGAAACGGCGTTCCGAGGAAATAAGCGCCGCTTTAAACGTGATGCCTTGGCGATTGATTGTATTCATGAACCAGAGAGGGGTAATAATCT